ATTCCTGCAATAAGTGAAACCATCTGGCATTTTTCCTTTTCTTTCTGGCTTATTTCACTAAGCATGATCCCTTTCAGCTCCATCCATGTTGCTGCAAAAGGCATGTGTTTATCTTTTTTGATTGCTGAGTAATATTCCATTGCATAAATGTACCACATCTTTTTAATCCAGTCATCTACTTTTGGGCATTTGGGTTGATTTCATGACCTACCTATTGTAAAGAAAGCAGCAATAAGGGGGTGCAGGTGTCTATTTGAATCAGTGTTTTGTGTCAAAGAGTTATTCAACATTTTAATTTTAATTATAGTTATTCAACATTTTAATTTTAGGATCTGTCCTGATCTAACAGCCACATACTTGGGTTGCCATCTTTGAGTGAATGACCTGATACAGTGTCATCCTAGCAACTAGCACCCAGGTTTTACTGAATACTGGTCCTTTTTCTTGGCTATTTACCCTTCATACCCAGAGGCCATTAGGCTGAAAAACCTTCAAGGTTCTGGATCCTCACCCATTTAGTGCCACTGTCTTCGGAAAGCAGCTGCCCCAAGTTCAACTCTGACCGTTTCTCCTTCCCCAGTCCCCTCACCTTGATGCTCTTCTTGAACATGTAGCCTGGCGTGAGGGATCCCTTCCTGAGCAGTTCACTGAAGATGACAATTTGCTCAAAGAGGAACACGCGTCTCTCCTTGGTCCGGGACTGCATGCCTGCATCCAGCTCAATCACGTAGAATGTGTCCTGCTGCAGCAGTTTCCCCTGAGCCGTCAGGGTGCCCTGATGGAAAGAAGGGCTGGGTGACATGAATGAAAGGCAGGGAGAAGGCCTCCATCTGTGGGGTCCAAGGAACTTGCCCCTCTGGGGACCAGGACAACAGACCTTATATGCAGAAAAGCCTCAGGACTATCATAAGAGATCCAACTGGACATTCTTTCTCCTGTACCCTCCATTCAGCTTTGTGTAAACTTTCCTGTTCACACAAGGGCTTTGGAGTGAAAAGGAAAAGCAGGCTACGGAACCATGGAAACAGCTCCAGGAAAATGCCTGAAGGAAGGGAGGTGATCTTATTTTTATATATTTTTTAAGATTTATTTATTTATGCATACAGAACTGGGGTACAGGCCAGAGGTGCAGGAGCAGTGAGAGGATTCACCAGAGACAGAGTGGGGTGTAGAACAGACAGGTCGATGAAGTACACTGCTGAGGGGAGCAGCGGGTGGGTCAGGAGAGGTCTGCCACGCCATGTGGATCTCCTCCGGGGGAGGTGGGAATCGAACTCATGCGGAAGTGGCTTAAGCTTCTTAGTGCTGTGCTTTAACCTGCTGCGCCACCAGGGAGGGCCCTGATGACTCCTTATTTTAAGGTCAACAGCCAAACAGGCTTATCTCTATCCCAGTCCCCAGTTAACATTAAATCACTGACTAGCTAGCCAGAAAAGTTCTAAAAGCTCTATTAATATTACATAATAGCCTGACCCCCTGCCAATACTAAAGGGGAGACCAGAAGATTTAAAAGAGCAGGAATCTAAGTGAGGGGGCTGACTTCTCCCTGACTTAAGTCATGAACTTCAGAGTGAATGGAAGTAGCACATTTGCTGTCCTTCCTAGCTAGCTGAAGACATGCATAGCAGATTCTTTGGGACCAGATGTACAAAGGAGCTGTGGTACTTGATTTAAAGAGAAAATAGCTCTGTACTCCTGTGTGTGGCCTGTGGACACACATGCACACACACAACACAGGCCCATGGAGTCGGCGGCAGACAGCACGAAAGGCAAAGCCTCCTGTCAGTGGCTGGTCTCTCCAGAGTCCGAGAGCGAGTCAAGCCAGACTCCTGCTCAGAAAATGTGGGGGCGTCATGGGTAAGAGCAGTAGCAATTATTATTTTATTCAGAATAGCCTCAGACCTGGCAGAACTCCAGGAGGCAGTGCAGAACATGAGCCATTATGATTGAAGAAATGCCTTAAGGACTCCGTCTATTACTTAGTGTAACCCTCAGTGCCCTGGGTGCGGCCTGGACACCAGAGAACCTATGAAAACGAATAGCACGGAAGACTCTCCACAGAGTTCCTGGTCACAAGAAAATAATGGAAATCAGATAAGCACAGCAGACAAGCACTTCCGAAGAGGCTGGAAGGACAAGGAGGATAAGAAAGCTTGCCTCAGAAAACTCAGTAACCCAACTCATTAGCCCAAACCTGAGTACAGCATCCCCCAAATCTATTTTGCAGTAG